TGTCGGTCGGCTGGGTCGGTGGTCGGTCGGCGGTCGGCGATTTTCGACCAGCCTTATTACCTGATATACAGTACCGTCATTTAGATGCATTTTGCATTATTTGAACGTCCCTAGTTTTTCAGATAATTGCCGATTTCTGAAAGACACGTTTTTTTCATATTTTTAGTACGAAAACGGCCGTGTCTTTTAGAAAGTGGCCAATAGCTGAAAAACAATAAATTTTCGAAAAATTCTGTGAATTCAAAGTTTTCTATCTACCGTGAAACCTGTATTAGAAGGACCCCTTTAATAGAAGGACCCCTCTAATGGAATGACCCCCAGTAAAGAAGGACCACCTTCACAATAGTCATGAAAGTAAAAAATTTCAGTACGTTTTCAATGAAAAATATTTCGGGAATTCTACAGTTTAATAGAAATCTGTTGAAGAACTACTTTTCCGCTCAAAAACTTGATTAATTTTGGTGAAACTGACAGATTTTCATGACTTTTGAAAATTCTAATTGAAGGGCCCTCCGGAGGTACCTTGGAACAATAGAAGGGCCGGCCCTTCTAATACAGGTTTTACGGTATGTCTATTTTACACCCTAAAAATTCTCAAAGCGATCGGAAGCTTCCCAGCTGAGCATCAGACTTCTAAGAATGCCAAAAATCAACTGCAAAATTAGTTTTTCTATATATCTTATTGAACGGTACTGTAAGTATGGGAAATTCTGAAAATGTGCTTCAGACCTGTCGCCCCAATTTTTTCAAAATTCCAATTTTCTATTCCCAATCCCTTGTAGCACTTGACCCGTTTTCCCTATGCATTTCATGACATTCTCAAAAAACTACACTGCTTACTTTCCACTTTCACTAGTTACTTTTTCCTTCAAAAACGCCTGAATAGCCGAAAAAGTGGTAACTACGAATATTTAATGATGATGATCTAATGGATTCCCGTTACGGTGTTTTAATTGCCACCACTAGATAATTACCCCCCAATGATTATGTAAGTGAAGCAACGGAGAAAGCTGTTTTTAATGACCACGGCTTTTAGCGTTAGCTGAAAAAATTGTGACTGTGGTTGGTTTTTTCTAAGTTGTCTAGTGTTAAATGGGCTCGTATACACACTTAGCAATGGGCCCACAACGGGGCCTGGCGGGTCCTGTCCTAGTTTCTTTCAGGTTCAAAATTTTTTGGTCAGCTAAATTAGATATGACAGAACTCGACAACTACTATAAAATAATGCTATTCGAAAAACTGTATTTTGTTTATGAACAAAGTTACAAGGCATCAAGCTGGCTCAAATGATGTTTGGCTGGTAACAGGGTTCATAGACAAGACACAGTGATCCGCATGGTATCATATTGTAATACTCGTCAAGTTCTATCATATCTGATTTTGTTGGTAAAAATATGGATCCCAAAGGAACTAGGGCTCGTATTGCATTCATGCTTCAATCTTTGATCATCCTTTCCTCCAAAACTACAGTAGTTCATTTTTTTTGGCTAACTAAGGTGGATATGATAGAAGAACTCAAGGACTAAAAAATGATACAAAATGATACTAAAACTGTACCTCGTCTATGAACAAAGTTACAAATCTTTTTAGTTGTAGGAACTATTCCTGAATTCTTCAATCTCTGATCATCCTCATTCTCCAAAGCTACAGTACGCCCCCTAGTTCAAATGTCCTCTCCAGAAATCTGTCAATCTTCACACATCATCATCATCTCAAGTTTTTTTTTCGCCAATCATTTTTTTTTCCCTACATTTCCACAGGTTTCTTTGTCTTCCTTCTGATTTCGTAAATTCTTCTTCCTCCTTCTCCTCATATACAAAAAGAGCGGGTTTTGGGATCTGTAGGGTCGACCGAAAGCTCCTCCCACTTCTTTTTATATTCCTGAAACCGCAAAACGATTATATTGACAACCCGCTCTTTCTCTTTCTCTCTTCTTTTATTCCCAAAATGTGTGTGACTGTCGAAAAACGGCGGGGAGGCGTATATGTATGTATCCGCTTCTTCAATTAGAACCACCAACCACAGAAAGAAGAACCTGATCCGAAAGAAGGATCAATCTCGTTTTTGAGATGATGACCATGATGGTTCTTCTTCTTCTCCTTCTTTTTTTGCAGTGTGTGCGCGTTTCTCTCGTTTATCTCTTTTTGATGCTTCATCTCTTCTTCGTCTTCTTATGCAATTGATAAATTGATAATGAGAGGGTCTTATCCAATTTTTATCGCATTAGCAGGTTGCGTAGTTGGAAATATTGTTGCCACTTTGGCCTGTTCTCGGCGCTCTTCGTCTTCTTGTCTTCTAAGTTTTGAAGATAACTTGAATTAACTTCAAGTTTTGTTGTTTCAAAGCGTAAATGTTAAAAGGCCATGAGTTCTACAAACAGCTGGCTTTTTTCGAGTCTATTTTGTTCGGGTTTTCGAAAGTTCTAGGCTAGGAAAAGAGAATTGGTCAGGCTCTGCATTGTTTGCTCGATTGTTTAACCGTAAACCTTTTAAGCCTTAAGCGTTATCCTTAAGCCGTAAACCTTAAGCGCGCCAGCCCCTTTTTTCCACAAGTATGCTAATAAAGTGTCAACTAAACATTCAACTTTGAGCCAGTAAACATATCTCAATCCCTGTAGAAGGTATCAAAAAGTAGTCAACTGGAAAAATGATAACGATATTATGATAAACATTTTATCAGTTGACTAGTATTTGATATCTTTTACGGTAAATGAGATGTATGGGTTCAAAGTTAAAAGTTTCTATTGCGTTTTTATCGTTTACTGCAACACCACACAACCGTTTCGGACGAAAATTTTCAGCTTCCTGGTGAATCAGTGGCTAGATATATTTGACATTGTGTAGAAGATATCGCAAACTATATGTACTGAAAATTTCAGCAGTATCCCAAATGACCTTAGAAAAACGGTCCCTTGTTAGTTGAAATGTAGGCTATCCGTTCGAAGCAAGTCACAACTCCCAAAGTTATTCCAATAAGACACCTATAACAAGCCGTAAAACCTGTAATAGAAGGGCCCCACTATGTTAAGTTTGAGCTCAATTATCTCGGCTCCTATAAGAGATATCAAAAATGTATCAACTGATAACATGTATATTTTCGTATCTTCAAAGGAACCGAGAAGAATTGGCTCAAAATTAAAAGTTAAGAGTCCTTCTATTACAAGTTCTACAGTAGCTGTAATTCATCTGTAATCGTACTTGTAATGCAGGCCTTTCCCGGGCCTTCGCGGGCCTTGCCATTGTTTCTTTCAAAATTATTATTATCAGATCAACTAAATCAAAAAATAGGCAAAAAAAAGCGAAAAAAGCAGACCCGGCCCGGCTCGGCACGTCCGAAAAAAGCTACTTTATGGCCTGTAACTTTGTTCGCAGACAAGATACAGTATTCCGCATAACATAATTTTGTAGTACTCGTCGAGCTCTATCATATCCAATTCAGTTGGTCAAAAAATTTTGATTCGGAAAGAAACTATGGCAGAGCCCGCGAAGGCACGGGAAAAGCCCGGATTACAAGTATGTCTGTAATATAGCTGAAAAGTACGTTCCGAGGCTTTCAGTGGGTTTTGTGTCCCTTTCCAATAACATGAAAAAATGTGTACATATTATCGGTTTTGAAGCAGAGTTGTCATTTGTCCAATTAAACATTCTGGTTTTGCTCACTATGCTTTTGGTTCACGTAATGCTCTCAGACTTCAGAATCAAGCGATTACCACTAACTAATCGGGTGCCTGTACTTAGGCACCCTTCGAAAACGTTTATTTCCACAGCTATCACTTCTAATCTGGATCTTCTTTCTTTCTTCAAATCTCTTTCTCTAGAAGGCGTTATCCAATATAAATCGCATCATTGCGCTAACGACACACACACACACCTGTTGCGTAGTATTGCCATTGTTCTTTCGTATCTCATCGTGTTGCATCTTTTTTCATCTTCCGCCTTTTGTCCACTTCCATCGGAAGCGTCTGTTTCGGAAATGATTTTTTCGTTTGAATTTTGGAGAAAAAAAAATTGTCAAAACTTTTTAAACTTCCTAGCTTAAGCTTGTTTTTGAGATGCCTACTGTAAAAGAAGAGCTCCCACACAGCCAACATCACCCTGATTTCTCTTGGTTACTGTAAGAGATATGAAAAAGTTGTCAACTGACAAAATGTTAGAAATGTTATTATAAACAATTTATCTGTTGACAACTTTTTTATATCTCTTACAGTAACCGAGATAATAAAGCTGAAACTTTACCGTGTTGGAGCCATTTATATTACATGTTTTCTGGAATTGGGCTACAATTTCATATTTTTGTAACAATATTTTTGTTCAAAACACATCCCATCTCCTGTGGTAGAAATCAGACTGATACCCTGATCGCTTTCATGAACTTTTCCGCTTTTTTTTAAGTGCATTCTCAATAAGTCACGTCTTTGTGTCGATGATTTCTGATTCCTCTCGGCGTCAAGGTGTCTGGATTCTGTAGCTAACATAGGCTATTCAATCTCAGGAATATGATATTAAGAATTTGCGATTTTAAGAGGTTTATAAGTTAAACAGTATAAAATCGAAACTTTTAGAGTGTATGCTCACAGCAAATGCAAAAAATTGTTCTAAAGTTTTAACAACTCTTATTTGATATTGTCTACAGAAACCGATTTTTAGGCTTCTTAGGCCGATTTTTAGCCCGAAATCTAAAAATTTTGAACATAGGTTTGTTTAGGCTCGTTTTGAAGCGTATGACTTGACAAAGACAGAATTTTTAACAAAAACTTAAAAAATCGATTTTGAAAAAAGTTATGTTCAATTTTCAAAAAAATCTGAAATGTTTTTTGAAATTTTCAAAAAAAAGTCAAAATGTAAGAAATTCTAGGTTTTCTGAAGATTTTCGAGCGATTTTGATATCAAATTCAAGTTTCTCCATGTTTATTCAGTGTAGACACGAATTTTACAGCTTTCTAGCTTTCGTTTTGAAGTTACAGTAATCCAAAGAAAATTTAAGAAAAATCGATTTTTGAGCTTTCAGAGTCATTTTTACATCAAAAATGAGCTCAAAACTAATTTTTCAGTCTAGCAGACTTCAAACCCATGGTGTTAACTTTAAGCCTATATATCTCATTTCCGGTGATAGATATCAAAAACTGGTCTGCTAAAAAATGTTTATTGTAATTTCAAAAATATTTTGTTAATTGCCCACTTTTTGCTATTGTTCACAAAAACCGAGATATATTGGCTCAAAGTTGACAACTATGGTAAACCACGTAGACGGCTTCTTGGTACGATCAAAAAATTTCCGAATATTCGGAACGATTATACTAATTTTAAAGCCATGAAAAAACGGAGAACGTTAGAAAACTTCAAATTACTTCATATTGTTTTCCATTTCTAACTATACATATATCTTTTCATCAGTTTCCTTCGATGCATATCTATGTGATGACATGTCATGTCAGAGAAAAAAACCGGTCCGTTTTCTCCACTTTCCTCCAACTTCTCCTGTCCGTTTTCTATTAATGTTCACTTTCCAGAAAATGTTGCAAGTGCTTAGATTTTTTTTGTTCCTCTTATTTGAATTTAAATGTCTTCTCTACATCGTTCAAATCTTTGCCTCATTCGTCTCAATTAATCAGTTCCACTATCTCCTTTTCCCCTTCAAATCCTTTTCATCCTACTCCCATTAATTATTCCTTCTTCGTCTCTTTCCTTTTGTCGTTTCTCCACTTTTTTATTGTATCATTTTTCGCTTTGGTCGTTTTCGTCGCCTTCGGCGTTGAATCTATCACTATATGCGCTTGTATCGTGATGTCAGAATGTTATAGTTAGGGAATTTGAAGGCTCTATGTTTGAGCTTGAAATTTTTTGAGTGTTTCAAGCATTCGAGATTGATTTTGAGTTTTATATATGGTTTAGTTTTGTTTAATGTCACAAAATATGGCCCTCTTGCTATTTCAAGCATTAGAGCCGAAGCCCTACTCCGTTTAAAGAACGTTCATCTGTAACGATTCTATATTTCCTACCACTTTCTAACTCTTTTATGCCTTAAATGCCTGCTTAAACAATTTCAAACATGATATATAATCATTTACCAGGTAACGCCATGCGGAACTCCCGGTTTTGTGCCATTCTGGCAGTCGTCGCATCAGTGTTGGTAGTGGTTATTGGACAAAGTGAGTTTTTAAAGTTTACTAAAATTTTTTTCTAAAAATCGTTTTTAATAAAATACAAATTTCAAAGTAATAAAGTCGATCCATAAAAGTGGAAATAAAAATTTTCGATTAGCAAGTGTTTCCCTGATCTATAAAGAGCTGAGATACTTTGAGGTGATATTAAAATTGATATAGTGATAATGAGGTCATTCAAGTTAACCAAACTTTTTCCCTGAAAAAAAGTAATTTCCAGGATCCCAACAAGCCGTCATTGCTGACTTGGGTAAACTGATCGTCGATAACTGCCCGCCTATGCTTTGTACTGGTTTGGTTGCGCAGTTGTCACCGAGAGAAATGGATGCCAGGTAAGGAATCCTAAAAATTTTTAAAAAATGACTCATTGGAACAATATCAGGCTTGTTAATGGTGTAAAAATGGGTCTGTGTGCATTGTAGTGTCGCCACCGAAAGCGTCAACTTTGAGAGCATGTATCTCATCTCTTGTAAAGGATATCAAAATATAGTTAACTGATAAAATGTTGCTGATATTATGATTAACATTTTATCAGTTGACCCTTTTTGGTATCTTTTACAGAAAATGAGATAAATGAGCTTGAAGTTGACATTCCATTTGTCGCTCCAATCCTTTTTCAAATCCTCTGTTTCGATCCCATTGAAAAATCTCCTTGATCTCATCAATCACCTCCTCCTCCGTCTCATTCCATTAACTCTGTGTGGTGTTCCACTTTTACTCTTTTGTTTCCTCTTTTTTTTGCATTTGTGTTCATTCAAATCTCCGTTTTTACATTTCGACACACGCGCCAAGATAGGGAGAAAAAAGACATGAACGGAACCTGTTTTTGAGTGAAGATGAATACCACAGAAAAGAAATTTGGACATTTGGAAAAGAACAAAAAACACGGAAAAATGGAAGGTTTTGATCAAAAAGGGCTAATTAAAAAATTTGAAAAGGATGTGATAAAAAATGCATTTGCGCGTCAACGTGTTTGCATACGCTGCATTGTATTTTACGACAAACTACTCACTAAAAGCCTCGTTTGATGTAAAATAAAGTGCTTCGTACGCAAAAATTCGTGTTTTTATGCGCAAAGGAACGAAATCGGTCAGCTCGGTCGGCTGTCGGTCGGCGATTTTCGACCGACCGAAATTTTCCTAGTTTTTCAGCTTTTTGCTCATTTCTGAAAAACCCCTTTTTGGCTGGTTTTTGTACTGAAGACGCGAACAATAGGTGTCTTTCAGAAATCGGCAAATAGCTGCAAAACTATGAAATTTTAAAAAACTCTGTGACTGCAAAGATTTCAATTGAGGTCTGTTTTACACCCTCCAAAATTTTCAAAATGGTCGGAACCTTCCCAGGCGTGCACCAGACTCCTGAAAATGGTCAAAACGACCGAAAATCAACCGGAAAGTACGTGTTTATATCGTCAAACTTGAACTTATTTATCTTGATTCCTGTGAGAGACACAAAACATTTGTCAACGGTTAAATAATTCATCATTATATCAGAAATATTTTATCTGTTGATAAATTTTTGATAGCTTTTAAAGGAACCTAGATAATTAAGTTTAAAGTGTCCGTATAAAATGGGGTGGTCTAATAGAAATCTACCCTATTCTTTGAGCTCAATTATTTTGGTTCCTATAAGAGATATATCAAAAAGTAGTCAATTGATAAAATATTTATCGTAATTCCACTAATATTTATCAGTTGGCACATTTTTCCAAATCTTTTATAGAAACTGAGATAATTGAGCTCAAAGTGCAAGTATAGGGTGACCTTCTATTAGAGGGATCCGGTAATTTATTGACCGGTACTATATTTATGTCAAATTACGGTTATTTCTATTTGAATTTGCTAGCTGTAATAGAAGGGCCCCTGAGTTGTCCAATTTAAGCTAATTTTTCCTGGCTCATATGCGATATATCAAAATTTTGTTAGCTGATAAAATATTGGTAATATTATGATAAACAATTTGTCAGTTGACAACTTTTTTTTATATCTTCGACAGGAGCCGAGATAAATTGGTTCTAGGTTTAAAGTTAGCGAGCTTTATTACAGGTTTTAGGGCAGTAGAACATCTAATCGAGATCTTAAAATTCCATGAATCTGTTTGCAGCTTTGTGCCTGCCCAATCGGTTCTCCATCCCGTGGATGCGATCCAATGCCTTTCATTCTCTGGCACGATCTCATTGTCAACGGATGTCCAAATGTGACACTGAACAGTCGCGACCCCGCTCAAAAAGTGCACAGATGGTTCAGAAGAGTCAACAGGTTCACCAATACGGATCAATGTGAACCATACATCTTCCCATATTGCCCAGAGTTGGACTTTAATTTGTGGAGGTCACCAAGAACCAAACAGGTCAGGTTTCAGAAAAAATAACTTTTTTTCATTCTCTCGCACCAAATTTGATCTACCATAACTTTCTTAACCACTCTAACAGAAGGCCACCTACACCGTTAACTTTGAGCCCATATATCTCATTTCCTGTAAAAGATATCACAAAGATGTCAACTGATAAAATATTTATCATAATAATATAAAAATTTTTTCAATGGACCACTTTTTGATATCTTTCACAGGAACCGAGATATATAGGTTCAAAGTAAACGGTTTGGGTGACCTTCTATTCGAGGAGAAAAGAAAAATAATTTTTTATCATTTCAGGAATGCGAACTTTATTGCTACTCGATCGATGAGCAGAGAAAGCGTGGAATCATCTGAAAATTCTAAATTTATGTTCTCCAACCCATTTCCTCCCTTCAAAAATCTAGATTTAATAATAAGTTATTAATTGGATTTTTCCCTCATTCCTCCTATTTTTTTTGTCCCAAACTGTCCCCAAAAAATTTAAAATCGTCTGTGCCTGCTGTTTTTTGTTGTTCCCTATCATTATTATTCCAATAAAAAAAAACAAATTTTGATTTCTCTTACACTTTGCAGATTACGAACAAATAAAAAATATACTAAGCCCCGCCTTTTGCAGCCCCAGAGCTATTGAAATTTCGGAAATTTCGGAATTTTTAAAAATTCAAATTTTAATGTAAAAATTCTTTCATCACATATTGATGATTTTTTTTTGTTTCAAATAAAATTATTCATTACAACAAACAAAATAATTTACTGATTCTGAGCGGCCTCGATAAGCTCGGCCTTCTTCTTCTCAATGATGGCGTGGTAGATCTTTTGATCTGCTTCCGATTGGCTCTTGATGTACTCGTTGAGCTCTCCGATCATCTTGGTGATGACGGCGAGGGCGGTAGCGGCGTCACGCTTTGGCTCATCGTCCTTTGGCTTGTAAGTGGCAGCGATCTTCAGAACACCTTCGATGGCTCCGTCGGAGAGTCCGGCGGCGTGCATCTCAGCCTTGGCTTTCTCAACTGAAATCTGTTTTGTTTTGTTACTTTCTTTGTTGGCCTAATTATTTGTAAGTCTAGTTGAAAGTATTAATGATCGCCTTATAAAGTTACATTGGCGAACATTAGTGAGTGTCACTCTATACCTTTGTTCATAACTTTGCTCAAACTTGTCCAATAATCGAAAACTTTTTTGTTAAATGTATCTGAATTTCCAACAAAACGTCATATAAATTTTTTGAAACTCAATCAATTTTTGTGTCTTCTGAATCTTCACAGACATGACGATGACTCCAGAAGAAAACAAAATTTTTCCGTCAGAACTTTTTTAAAAATTGCTCTTGAGATGTGCTCACTGGATCATGAAAGGTATGGTTCAGGAGTTTGGCTATAACTCGGCTCAAAATCATCCAAATTTTCTCAAATTTTAAGAAAATGTGTGACTTTATTTGCCCTACAATATACATACAAAACTTTAAATTTTCCTTGTTTGTTTTGCCCGTTTTTGGTACACAAAATAAAAAAATTATGTTACGAAAAATGTTTTGTTCCCAAAATACAAACTTTTGTATGCATATTGTAGAGCAATTAAAGACACACATCCTCTCAAAATTTGAAAAAAATTGGATCATTTTGAGCCGAGTTATAGCTAAACTCCTGAACCATAATTTTAATGCTCCAGTGAGCACATCTCAAGAGCAAGTGTTCCAAACCGCCTCAATTTTTTTTTGGTATATACTTGATCTACACCAAACATTTTTCATCACAAAGCCAATTTTTAAAAAACTTCTGACGCAAAATTTTCTTTTCTTCTGGAGTCATCGTCACGTCTGTGAAGATTCAGAAGACACAAAAAGTGATTGAGTTGCAAGTTATGAACAAGAGTGTAGAGTGACACTCACTAATGTTCGACGCTGTATAACAGGCTAAAAAGATACGGTATTTGACGCAAGAGCGAACTACTGTATTCTTTGAAAATATTCTTAATATTTTTCTCATAGTTTCTCAAGTTTTCGACGGTTTTTTATTCATTTTTTCCGATTTACATCGAAAAAAAAGTGAAAATCGTCAAATATTTAAAGGTGGTGTGCGGTGAAATTTTTTATTGCTTTATTTTGTGCAGAAATCTATATTTTTATCGATTTTCAGCGTTTTGTTCAATTTTTTGGAAATATTCTCAAATTTTTTGGTTAATTATCTCCCAGGGATATGAAAAAAACCTGAAAAAATCTGAGAAAACGCTGAAAATCGATAAAAATTCGAATTTCGCGCGCTTTTATTTGCAGTTGGCATAGAAAATCCGCTTCGGCCACCAGTTAACACTTTGGCTTTTCGATGCGTTTTTCGCAATGAAGGATTTTTTTTGAAATTGAGAAATTTGAGAAAAATAATTGAGAAATTTGAGAAATAATTAATTGAGAAATTTGAGAAAAATATTCAAAATATCAAAAAAGGCCTAAACGATACGTTATTTCGCTCTTGCGCCTCTCAGTTAACGAGAATTACTCTTATAAAACTAGATAATTACTCCTAAAGCAATTAGCACTCACGTTTCTCAGCAGCCATTGTTTCGTCGGTTCAGTCACTTTTTTCAGAAAAAAAGAGCCTATCTTTCTGACCTACTCTGTAGCCTTTTTATACTCGAAGCATCAGATGCTTACGTGTTCCGTACAAGAATCACTGCATAATTTGATGTGTTTAACGATGTGTCAAATTCTTGGCCAGCGATAAGAGACAACCCATTTTTTGACAGTTTTGTTTGCAACTTTTTCAAAAATCGTGGCAAACAAGAACTTTGGACCTTTGCATACTTTCAGCCTGTACAAGTCATAATTGTGACCCTAGTAAAGCAAGCACAAAAGGATTCAGAAATCACATAAATTCGTTTTTGTCTATAAGGCACATGAAAACAATTTCGATCTATAAAAAACACGAATTATCACACATTCTGCTTCTTCAGGAATTGATAGACGACACCGAAATCCTTGGCCTGGTACGTTGGGTCGCGTGCCAGGATACGGTAGATTTGATGAGCCAACGATCCCATCGGAGTTGGGGCCTGGGTGTTGGTCGAGGCGTTTTGAGCCAAGGAGAGGTCTTTAGCCATGAGGGATGTTCCGAAACCGCCGGCGTAGCCCTGGAAAACGATAGATTGGGTGGTTTGAGAGTGCCACGTGGCTTCTTAGGAGCTACCTTAGCACACGGAATGTTTGGAATAACCCCTGGAACTGGATTATAGGTGTCCGATGACCAGCATCGACCGGAAGAGGTGTTGATGATGCCTGCGAGAGCTTTCGCGTCGAGACCCATTCTGAAATTTTTTTTTTCTCTTTCTCATTCTTTTACATTCCCACTTACGAGATTCCCAAATTCATCGTCTCCGCCACGGCGACCATCTGAATACCAAGCAACATATTATTACAAATCTTGGCGGCAGTTCCGTTTCCAACAGCTCCAAGGTTCACAATATTCTTTCCCATAAGACTGAGCACGGCTTCGGCTCGCGCGAACGTCGCATCGTTTCCAGCGCCGACCATAAATGTCAACGTGGCTTGTTGAGCTCCAGTGACGCCTCCGGAAATTGGAGAATCGATGTATTCAGCCTTGAGAAGTGCGGCGGCTTGGGCAACTTCCAAAGTTACAATTTGATCGATGGTGGAGGAGTCCATGCAGAGAGTTCCTGGTTGGATGGTTCTAGAAAAGTTGATTTTTAGGTTAATTAGAACTTTTTATTATTCGTTTTACTTGAAAATTCCATTATCCCCCTGATAGACTGCTTTCACATGTGGTGAGCTCGGCAGCACCGTCACGATTTGCTTAGAAGCGGCGGCGATGTCTGCTGGATGCGTGGCAACTTGACAGCCTTCCGCTTTGAACTGCTCTACGACGGTTTTGTTGACATCATAGACGATGAGCTTCTTGCCGTTTTTCAGCAAGTTTCTCGCCATATGACCGCCCATGTTGCCGAGGCCGATGAACCCAGTGAGAGACATGATTGGCTGAAAATAGTTTTGAAGAGAATATCGGTGGGGATTTAGTATGAGATGGCGAAAATCGGTGAAAAAAAGAAAACTATAGAAATTGACACAAAAATTGAGAATTTTGAGAATCCAGTGTTCACGTACACCGGATCACCATCACGTCAGAATGCACAAACAGCTAATTTTAGCTTTTTTTCAGCTTGATTTTCTCAAGCGATTTTGAAGTATTTAACATTGAACGTAAATTTAAAGAAAAGTGCAGATAATAAAAAAAATGAAAAAATACGGACGATACAAAACCTGTTCTCTATAGAACCTAGAAAAATAGACATAGAATAAGAGAAAAGTCAAACTGAAGTCAATCTGTTGTATGTCTCAGCGAGAGATCAAAAAAACCCATTGTAAATTAAATGGGACGCAGAGAAAAAAGAGATAGGTGAAGAAAAAGTGCAGAAACACACGTGCTCTCTAAAGTTGAAGTTGATTATTCGATTTTGAAGATGCCGCGAAATAGAAAAAATTAAAAAAAAAGAAAAACATTTTCAGATCAATCCAGGACGCTTCTCCAATTTTTTCAATTGATTCCTGCCTTAAAACCTTCCCTTCTTTCCCTTTATTTTCAGACATTTCCAGATTTTTTTCAGAATTTCGGAATCCTCCTTTTCTTTCTCATACTCTCTTCTCATCAATGGAACCATAATTAATATGATTATTGTGTGTATAAAGTGACCTCTATGTATATTTTCTCTTCTATAGAATACAGGAAGAGACGGAAAGATTGCGGTCGGCGATTAAATAACTCGATATTCTCTCTCTCTCTCGACACAGTCACATATAGAAAAATTCCACGTTACGATCTACAAACTATGTATTTTATGCCTAAATTTAGGTTATATTCTTATAAACACAAGTAAGTGTTTCTACAGTAATCCTTTTACTGAAAAATTAGAATTTCATTTTTGTCAAAATTTCAATACACCTCAAAATCTCCCTATTTTTTCTCTGTTTCTATTTTTCGAGACCTCGATTTCTAATTCGACTAAATTTGAGCCAATTTGAGCCTATTTGGAGCCTAAAATGCAACCCTGGCACGGTTTTGCCACAGGGTTTTTCTGCACATTTGGGCACGGTCATGAGGGGGCGGAGCCTAAATTGCAACCCTGGCACGGTTTTGCCGCACGGTTTTTCTCGACTCCGCCCACTTTCCCCGGTTTTTTCCCCGATTTTTTTTCCCCGGAATTTGCGGGGTCTCGAAGAGCCCACTCGCGAATTCCATGTGCGCTCCACCGCACTATTTTCGCAATTGAAAAATTGTGAAAGAAATCCGATAAAATTGAAGTTTTATGTCCGATTTTCTCATTTTCCCGGTAATTTTAAGGAGTTTTAACCTGAAAAATAGGTTGAAAATGCCAAAAAGTGAACTAGAAAATAGAAGAATTCGAGGAAAAGGTCCAAAATAGTAGAAAAAAAGACTTTTACTCATTGTTGGGTTGCAGCTCCAATGTTTCAGCTAAAAACGCGTTCTAGAAATTATTGAAAGTGTCATAAATATATTCTATTTCTTCGAGCAGCCTATTATTTCTTCTTTTTCATTTTTCTAAGTTTTATAGGTTTTAAGTCCGATTTTCTTCTTTCTCCGTTCTTTTTAGAAATTTTTAACGTAAAAATAGGTAGAAAAAGCTGAAAATTAGACTAGATTATGTAAAATATTAAAAGAATTCGAGCAAAAATGTCCGAAATTGTAGAAAAAAAGATGTTTGCTTTTCATTGAATTATTTTCAGCTGGCGACATTGAAAGTATTCTAGAATCTTCTGAAATATATCCCATTATTCCTCCTTTTTTATTTTTCTTGTCCCTAGTGTCCGGTGTCCATTGACCCCCTATTTTACACTCTCATCAATCCCCTCCTCTCCATCCGCTAAAAACTTTTTTGTGTAATAAAAAACACATGTCCCCTTTGCTTCGAGCTTTCGGACCCCCTAGTGTACTATTTGATATCTTATTTCGTCTTATTTATGGGGTTCCCCTCCTCACTAAAATATGCTGAAAAATGTCTTTGTAAGCCTGAAATTCCCCGCAAAATTTCCCCAAAACAAAGAGTTTTGTTTCAGAAATGGCTACAACGATTCCCGGCTCACTGGTCAACAAGACCAAAAAATTCTTCATGGGAATGCCGGCGCCAACCGGTTACGTCCCGGGAGTGGGTCGTGGTGCAACCGGCTTCACCACTCGATCCGATATCGGTCCCGCCCGTGATCCCACAGAACTTCCAGAAGCCGGACCAGTCGGTCCATCACCACAAGGCGCCGCTCCACCGCCAACCAAACGAGCCAGAGATGATGATGGAGATGGGGAGGATCTAAATGAAGCGAACTATGACGAGTTCTCCGGTTACAGTGGATCCCTGTTCTCCAAAGATCCGTACGATCAGGAAGACGAGGATGCGGATCGCATCTACAACGAGGTTGATGATCGATTAGACGAGAGGCACAGGGATAGGAGGTTGGTCAATTTTTTGGTTATTTGCTCAACAATTTTTGCTTGTTTGCAGAGACAAAAAGTACAAGGAGATTGTTGAGAAGTTGCACAAGGAACGACCCAAAATTCAACAAGGATTTTCGGATCTCAAGCGTCAATTGGCAGAGGTAGGACGACCTAATCGTAAAACCTGTATTAGAAGGGCCCTCCGAGAGGGACTTGGAAAGTGAACAATTTCCGTACGTTATCAGTGAAAAAAAGAAAAAATACCGGGAATTCCACAATTTAATAAAACATTTTAATAAAGTTTAGCTCATTTTTCATGATTTTTGAGCCATTTTTCATGATTTTTGACCCATTTTTCATGATTTTTGAGCCATTTTTCATGATTTTCGGATCATTTTTCATGATTTTTGGATCATTTTTCATGATTTTTTGAGCTATTTTTCATGATTTTCGGATCATTTTTCATGATTTTCGGTTCATTTTTCATGATTTTTGGATCATTTTTCATGATTTTTTGAGCTATTTTTCATGATTTTCGGATCATTTTTCATGATTTTCGGTTCATTTTTCATGATTTTCGGTTCATTTTTCATGATTTTTGGATCATTTTTCATGATTTTTTGAGCTATTTTTCATGATTTTCGGATCATTTTTCATGATTTTCGGTTCATTTTTCATAATTTTTGGATCATTTTTCATAATTTTTTGAGCCTTTTTCATAATTTTCGGACCATTTTTCATGATTTTTAAGCCATTCTGAATGGCTTAAAAATCGTCGAATTTTTCTGTGAAAAATTTCAGAAAAAATGGCCCCCTCTAATTGAAGGGCCCCCTGTAATAGAAGGGCCCTCCGGAGATACCTTGGAACAATAGAAGGGTCGGCCCTTCTAATACAGGTTTTACGGTAATTCTGAAAATACCGAGATTCGGAAAATTTCCAAATCGGAGTTTTCCGAAATTCCGAGATTCCGAATTTTTCAAAATCGGAAATTTCGACATTCCGAACATCCCTGGTGCTGCTGGCGGGCCTTTGGCGCGTTACGCTTTTTCTTTAAAAAAACTTCTAACTTCAAAATTTCCAGGTGACAGAAGATGAGTGGCAAGCGATTCCAGAAGTGGGAGACATGCGAAACAAGGCGAAACGCAATGCACGAGCCGAGAAATTCACGCCGGTGCCCGACTCGATTATCGCGATGAACATGAACTATGGACAGATGAACACTTCGATTGACGCCAATAGTGGGCTAACGACACCGTTCAGTAGTGGATTCATGTCAACATTGGGCGGAGCCAAATCTGGGATTATGACTCCAGGATGGAAGACTGGAGTTCAAACTGGCACTTCTACAGATCTGGATCTAGTGAAAATCGGTCAAGCTCGTAACAAAATTATGGATATGCAGTTGACTCAAGTGTCGGATTCTGTGACTGGACAGACTGTGGTGGATCCCAAGGGATATTTGACAGATCTTCAATCGATCATCCCTCAAATGGGCGGAGACTTGCAGGACATCAAAAAGGCTCGAATGCTTCTCAAATCTGTCCGAGAAACCAACCCAAGACATCCGCCAGCGTGGGTAGCATCTGCTGTACTTGAAGAGCAGGCTGGAAAGCTTCAAACCGCGAGAAACTTGATTATGGAAGGATGTGAGAAGATTAAAAATTCCGAAGAGCTCTGGCTCCACGCCATCCGTCTTCACCCATCTGACGTTGGCAAGTCCATTGTCGCGAATGCAGTTAGAAGCTGCCCACAAAGTGTCCGTCTTTGGTGCAAAGCTTCCGATCTTGAGCAGGACATTAAGGATAAGAAGAAGGTTCTCAGGAAGGCTCTAGAACAGATTCCATCGTCTGTGAAGCTTTGGAAGGCGGCTGTGGAGTTGGAGGATCCAGAAGAAGCACGTATTCTGTTGACACGAGCTGTGGAGTGTTGCAGTTCGTCTACAGAGATGTGGCTGGCGTTGGCAAGACTTGAAACTTATGAAAATGCTAGAAAAGTTCTCAACAAGGCTCGTGAGCATATTCCAACGGATAGACATATCTGGTTGTCAGCCGCCCGTTTGGAAGAGACACGTGGACAGAAGGATATGGTTGATAAGATTGTCTCCAAGGCTCTAAACTCTCTTCGGACAAATCAAGTAGAAATAAATAGAGATCAATGGCTAAAAGATGCGATAGATGCGGAGAATGCGAAATGTCCAATCACTTGTCAAGCAATCATTCGCAATGTTATCAGTCTTGGAGTTGAAGATGAGGATAAGAGAACCACATGGCTTGGAGATGCGGAGAATTTCGAGAAGGAGAATGCGTTTGTATGTGTCAGAGCAGTGTACGCAGTGGCTCTCAAAGAGTACCCAAGGAAGAAGTCGATTTGGGATGCAGCGATCAATTTCGAGAGGGAGCATGGATCATTGGATGAGCATGAAGCGATTCTTCTGAAGGCTTGTGAGGTGGTGCCAGAGGTGGAGAACTACTGGTTGATGCTAGCAAAGTTGAGATTTGTGAATAAGCGAGTTGCGGAGGCACGAACTACACTGAAAGATGCATTCGAGAAGCATGGACATCAATCGGAGAAGATTTGGTTGGCAGCGACGAAAATTGAGATTGAGAGCGATGAATTTGATACGGCGAGAGGGCTTTTCGCAAAAGCCAGAGCCAAGGCACCGTCAGCGAGAGTTTGGATGAAAAACGCCACATTTGAATGGTGTCTAGGCAACCTGGAGGAGGCTAAGAAGCTTTGTGAGGAGTGCATCAAAGTCTATGACGATTTCTATAAGATCTATTTGGTGCTGGGACAGGTTTTGGAGCAAATGGGAGATGTTGCAGGGGCTCGGCAGGCTTATACACAAGGAGTGGGTTTTATGGCATTAGAATGAAAAAATTCAAAGAAAAAACCCCAAGATGAGAGAAATCGCTCTCTGGAAACTTCTGGAAAGTTCTCGAATTTTTTTAAAAATTCGGCTATTTTTGAAAAAGTAAAAAATTTGCAAAACCTCGAAAAATCGCTCGAAACTTGATGGGGGATTTTTACTGAAAATAGCTTCAAAAATGGTTCAAGATCACTGAAAATCACGAAAATAGCCTAAAATGATCTGGAATAGGCTAAAAAACGTCTAAAATCGTCAAAATTTGTTTAAAATCTTCACAAAATGTTCAGTTTCTAGACTATTTTAAAGATTTTAGCCTATTTTAGGTTATTTTTAGACCATTTTCGATTTTCCGTATTCTTAAACCACTTTTTACAAGCTATTTTTTTTGCGATTTTCTGAGGGAAAAATAGTTTTTTCCCCAGTTTCTTGCAACATTTTAAAACATTTTTAGATTTTTCAGCTTTTTTTAAAATGTATTCTTGGTGATCTTAATATTTGAATGTTCAGATCCGCAAATGCCACGGCATCATTCCCCTCTGGATCCTTCTCGTTCGCCTCGAGGAGTCGGCTGGACAAATCGTCAAAGCGCGTGTGGATTTGGAGAAGGCGAGACTTCGAAATCCGAAAAACGAGGATCTCTGGTTGGAATCTGTACGATTCGAGATGCGTGTCGGATGTCCGGAAATGGCAAAGGAGAGGATGTCCAGAGCGCTTCAGGAGTGTGAAGGAAGTGGTAAGTAGGAGTTTTCAGATTAAGTGAATTCGAAAAATATTGAAATCTGGCTTCTATTTGGTCCAAGTACCAGATTCCTAGACCACCTGAACGTCGAGATACATCCATTTGAAGTTTAGGAGGCTAGAGACGCAGTGTGTCTCGTCGTCTGTGTCTCTAGCCGAATGAAACTTCAAATGACTATATCTCGGTTTTCAGGTATTCTAGAAACTCCATTCTTTTCCCTCATTCTGACTCTCTAGTCCCATTTAACATTTCCAAAGCCAGCTTTAGTTTCAAAATGCAAAGTTTTCAACCTAGTTCTGTTTTAAACCCTCCAAAAAATTCAAAGTGATCGGAAACTTGAAAATGGTCAGAAATAGCCGAAAATAACTTGAAAATAAAACATTTTAGACATTTCCCCTCTCCGCTAGGAACACAAAAAATGTAATCGTTTTTCCTACCTACATAATTGCAGGAAAGCTGTGGGCCGAAGCAATTTGGATGGAGGGACCACACGGAAGACGTGCGAAATCGATTGATGCTCTGAAGAAGTGTGAACACAATCCACATGTTCTCATCGCCGCGGCTCGGCTCTTCTGGAGTGAGCGGAAGATCAAAAAGGCGCGGGATTGGTTCTTGAAGGCGGTGAATTTGGATCCGGACAATGGAGACGCATTTGCCAATTTTTTGGCTTTCGAGCAGATTCATGGCAAGGAGGTGGGTAGTTTTTTTAGCTGGAATTTTGCTGAAAATAGCTAAAACAGGCTAAAATAGGCATACAATTATCAAAAATTGTCTGAAAATTAAAAACTGGTTTCCTCAGTTTTTTAAAAACAAATTTGGATGATTTTGGACCAATTTTCGTCTACTGTAGGTGTATTTTATCATGTTTTCGGTATTTTCGAAAGAAAAATGAATTTTAAAGATTCTTTTTCGATTTTTCCGATTTTTTCTGACTGAAATATGATGGAACGGTGGTTGTGAGGATTACTGTATATGACTGTAGAAACTCTTGTAGTTTGTAGTATTTTGTTTCTACTTTTTTATCTGCATTTTGACGTGATTGCGTTTGCAAAAAAAAACTACAAAAAGCAAGGTTGTCTACAGTAGCCTACAGTAATCTACGGTCAAGAACACCATCCCACGAAATTTCAAACGCGAGAAACCGAAAAAATCAGAAAAGAATCCTCAAAAATTGCTGAAAGCCCTAAAAATGTTTCAAAATGTTGCAAAAAATTGGAGAAAAACTCGATTTTCTTTCTTCAAAAATCGCGATAAAATGTTTTCTGAAAATAGCTAGAAATGATTCAAGATTACTCAAAGTTACCGAAATAGCCTAAAATATCCCTAAAATAGGTTAATAAAATTATAGCCCTATTGTAGCCTGTTTTAGGTCCTTTTTAAGCCATTCTCGCGATTTTCAGCAGAAATTTGAAATTTGCCCCCCATAAAAATCCCCCTTTTTTCCAGGAAGATCGCAAGGCCGTCATCAAAAAGTGTGTCAGTTCGGAACCACGTTACGGAGACCTCTGGCAAGCGATCGCCAAGAATCCAGCCAACTGGAGACGTTCGACAGAGGAGATTCTGCAGTTGACGACGAACAAAATCAAAGTCCCTACATAATTTATTTTTTAATTTTTCATTGTTTTTTGATGGATTTTTTTACAAAAGGTTTCAGATTCACTCTAAAGATCTACACTAAAAAGGGATATTTTCTACTATTTTTTTCAATTTTTTTTCTAATTTTCAGCGTTCTTCTTCAACGCAATTCTCTATTTTTTAACCTTAAAAATCCTCGTTTTTTCGCTCTCTACACTTCCGCTCTCTCCTCAATTTCACTCAATTTCCAGCTTAAAAAATCAAATGGCAGCTCAAGTGGTGAATGTGTACACGACGGCGTCGTCTGCTGATAACCTATCTCGACATGAGATGTTGATGTGGGTCAACGATTGTCTACAGGCGCACTTCACGAAGATTGAGCAGTTGCATACCGGCGCCGGATATTGTTTGGTAAGAGGGAGAGACTAGATTAGTATATGATTATAGACTTTCTTTCCCCAATATTTTTTCCTATTGGCAGGCCCTGGCACGAGTAGTAAAGACCTACTGATATTTACGGCGACCTACTGATATTTTTAGACTTTTACCTACTGACATTTCGGTCGCGAAATTTTCAGTGCCGGGGCCTGTTCCTATTGGGGGAAAGAAAGTCAATGACCATGCACCGATTTAGTTTCCCTTCTTTGCAGTTCACTGACTTCTTGTTCCCCGAAAGCATCCAGTTGAAGAAGGTGAAATGGAACAGCCGACTGGAGTTGGATTGGCTCTCCAACTGGAAACTCGTTCAGACGGCATGGAAGAATTTGGGAGTTGAGAAGGTCATTCCAGTCGACAAGCTGATTAAGGGAAAATTCCAGGTAGCGTTTTTCTTGTAACGGGCCGGGCCGGGCTTTTTTCCAAATTTCGGAGGCCCGCGGGCCCGTCATTTCACAAGTTTTGAAATTTTCAAAAAACACATAAGGGGGGACCCTTATGTGATTTTTCCGAGTTTTTTCGATTTTTTTTTCATCAAACAGAAACAATCTAGAAAAAAGGAAAAAATTATATTAAAGGAGGCGAGACAGCAAAAATTTCGGGGGCAGTTCGGGGGCCGAAATCGCGCCGCGCTTATGTAGACCATCGGTCGTCAGGCTCCTTCGCGCCCCCGTAGCTCAGCCGGTAGCGGCGCTGTACCCCTGAGCTGCCTGTCATGAGTTCAACCCCTCATGGGGGTTCTCTATGCAAAATATCAGGAAAACTTTTTTTTTGGTGTCTGGCCTCCTTTAAGAGCTCAAAATTTTGCTCAAAAATACATTTTTTGATACCGGGCCCTGAAAATTTCTCCAGGCCCGGCCCGGAAGTTTACAAGTATGGTTTTTATTGCAATTTTCGAAAAAAAAACGTATAACGTATCCAAAACGTATTTAAGCTAGGCTAAAATCTGTCAAAAATCATCAAATTTTTTCTGAAAGCTGAGAAGACCAGTTTTTTAGTTTTCAGACAAATTGTGATCGCTTTGGACCGACTTTAGCCTATTTTAAGTCATTATGATTTATTTTCCGCCATTTTGAGCAGTTCGAAAAATGTGCTCTTTTCAGATCGTTTTTATGAATCTATATATTTTTCTACACATTTTGCAGTATTGAAAAATAACGAAGATTAACGAAAATGAATAAAAATAAGTACAAAAAAAAGTCTTCCAGGACAACTTTGAATTCCTGCAATGGTTCAAGAAGCTCTTCGACGCCAACTACGACGGTCACGAGTACGATCCACTGAGCGCCCGTAACGGAGAAGGTCTTCCCACTGAGAATGGCCCGGCTGGTGCTGCTGCGAAGACTCCATCCAGAATGCCAGCTAGATCTGTCCCTCAGAAGCCAGTGACCACTATGAGGACTCCAGCGCCACCAGCCGCCCCAGCTGCTCGTCCAACGCCAGCTCGGCCAAAGCCAGCAGCAGCACCAGCACCATCTAAGCCTGCTGCCAACGCTGCGCCAGTCAGATCTGCATCTACCGTAGCCGCGGCACCACCTGGAGTAGATATGGCGACATTCAATAAGGTGAAAGAGGAGCTGGAAGAGGTCACTCGCCAATTGACGGAATCTGACAACGTGATTGCTAGTCTGGAGAAGGAACGAGACTTCTACTTTAGCAAGCTGCGAACAATTGAGGTCATTTGCCAGGATAATGAGTCTATTGGCAATGTGGAAGTGTCCAGAGTGCTTGAGGTGAATTAATTGAGACGTTTGAGCGACGCTGAAATCCTTTTTATGAAAAAGAAGTTCGAAAATCACCGAAGGATAATTTCAGGTGCTCTACGAAACCGAGGAAGGATTCGCGCCACCAGAAGACGAGGCGAACGGAGGAGCCGAGGAATTTTAAATTTTCAAATTTTGCGCTTTTATTTTTTTTGTTCCTCAAAACACAAATTCCAGCTTTCCTGCTTTCCAAACACAAGCTTTTAACCCTAACTCTATTAACTCTTATGCATATATAAAAATCTCTCTTTCAGCTTCTGTCACATTGACCGCCCCCTATTTTTCAGTTTTGCCTTCCCAAGACAATGCCAGTATTTCTTTGATAAACTTGAATTTTTCTTTGTTGTTTCTCTATGAAAAAAATGATGCTTCTTCCGCTTAAAAAGTCAATAAATTATTTCTTCTAATATCTGTGAAAAAAATTAACGAAAACATTGAACAAAAGCTGAACAAAAGAATATGAAAAGAACACTAAAAATCAAGAAAAATAAAATTCGAATTCGCGCGCTTTTACCTGCAGGTGGCCTAGAAAACTCCGGCATTTTCACTCGGCCACCAGTTAACAATTTGGTTTTTCAATGCGTTTTTCTCAATGAAGGGGAATTTTTCCTGTTTTTTTTTCTTCATTTTCATGGGAAACTACATAGATTTTTGCACAAAAAAAATATTCTTTCACACCACCTTTTATTTAACTTGACTTTTAACTTTGAGCTCAATTAACTCGGTTCCTATAAGAGATATCAAAAATGTGTCAACTGATGAAAGATAGGTGATATCATGATAAACAATTTATCAGTTGACAACTTTTTGATATATTTTACAGGAAATTAGATATATAGGCTTAAAGATGGGAACATTCCATTATATCGTTTACAGTAATCAATTTTCCCTGTGATCAACACGGCATCGCGGTTGGGAACCTGAAAAACGCGCGCTTCGTCGCACATAAAAGTTGGCTGCGTGCCAGATTCGAAAATTTCAAAACGTGTTTTGAAAAAAAAAGTGAAGTTAAGCGTTGTTGAGTCGCTACTCATCGAAAAGCCGCGACGCGACCGCGCAACGCGTCCAAACTTGGCGCGCTTTCCAATTTTTAAATCTAGGTTCCCTTTTGCGAGGCCGTGTCTGTGTAAAGCAGTGAAATTCGTTATAATAGAAAAAAGGCAATATCACAATTGAATATTCGAAAAGCGAACTTTATTAAAATCCGGATCAATCTGTTGAGCATTGGTAAAATCGTCTTCGATACACTGCTTGCTACACATCACTCCTTCGGCGAATTTCCCAAAAAATCGTATATGAAGGATGTAATAGGGATTGCGTACTGGCCATTCACAATAGATGGTTGGTTCTTTGCTGTAATAGTAATGGAAGTGCACCTACCCTTGCAAGGTCTGTTATAGTTTCCTTTAGGATCAATATTTTTGGACCAGATGAATTAGATATAATAGAAAAACTCAAGAACTACAAAATGACACTATTTGAAAAACTGTATATTGTCTACGAACAAAGTTATAAGCCATAAGGTGACATAAGGCTTAAACCATAATGTGGGCCGGGGTTTTTCATCTGGAACTTTGTTCATAGACATGATACAGTTTTTTTAATAGTTTTATTTTGTCTTTTCAAATTCTATCATTCCTAGTAATTGGTCCAAAAATATTTATTCTGAAAGAAACTATGGCAGGACCCGGTTTACAAATAGGGTGATGCCTCTTCTGTCCATTTTTCATGAAAACAGGATACTGGATTTTCTTTAATTTTCATGAAATTTTCAGAATACTAAACAAAATCTTTGACTTTACTGGAAAAAAGTTCGCGACTAATCCGAAAAAATGATCATTTTGAAAAATACCGAAAAACCTGTAATAGAAGGACCCGCAACTGTTATCTTTGAGTCAATGTATCTCGGTTTCTGTCAAAGATAAAAAGATGTCAACTGAAAAAATGTTTATCATAATATCATAAATATTTTATCAGTTGACATAGTTTTGATAACTTGCACGGGAATTGAGATATTGGAACTCAAAGTGCATGTCGAAGCCGGCTGCCGGGTTTTGGTGTCCTACCTCCTTCAAATTGAGAAACATCCATTTCTTCCAGATACCGTACTACTTCAGTTTTACGAGAAAGTGACATAAAATGTATTTTTCACAAAGAACTTTATTTTAAAAAAACCAAAAAAAAAAGCTCACACAGTCAACCAATCTTTAGTCTCCTCTAGCTCCGACACATCTGTCACACTGTTGTATCCCCTCTTCCAGAACAATCTGAAAATTCCAACAAAATTTTTTTCTAGACCCTTCTAAAAATCAACCTCATCAAAACCAAAAAAGCTGTTAACAGTGCTGAGTAGCCGAAAATGATGGGCATCGCGTAGGTGTGAAGTGCCAAGCTACTTTTCATCTTCTCATTTGCCACGTGGCTCTTCGAAAGGTGATCTGACAGCTCTCGGCAGGTGGTGAAGACGAGTGTGAGCAGGAGCCAGGATGTCTGAAAATCTAGTTTTAAACTTGAAGAAAAATAATTTTATCGACATTCATAAAGGCGCAAACTCCATAGACCCGGATTGGAAGGAATACGAGTAGCAATAAGAATGAGCAATATGAAGACAAAAGGATGGCCAGGTGGATGAGATAGGAGGTCACAAATTGGTCATGGTAGTTTTTGATGGGCCAGTTGATCATGATTTTTCTGGAAGAGAGGATTTTGAAGATTCAAGAGATTTGAATTCTGGATCTTTCAAACTTACATCTCATTGATGGCATAGCGGAGGAAGACAAGAATCAAGCAACCGATGGCAAAAGTGATCAAGTAGAAGATGATCTGAAACCTCTTAATTACCTTAATTACCCCCAGCTAATTAACTTACCCAATAAGAAACGCCACATGGTTTCTTGGCGTTTGGCGAATACTCATAAGTAAAACGTTCTGCTTTTTTTGATACACACATAATTTGGGAGATATCAAAAAACTCGGATTTTCGAGTTGGAGTACTGATTCTTCTGGAGGGTCTTCTGAGTTTTCAGAGAGAGAGAGAGAGAGAGAGAGAGAGAGAGAGAGAGAGAGAGATTCCACGATTTTGATGATTATAGAGACACATATTCTTTACTGTTTTCTGGGTTCGTCACGCAGATTTAGTTAAGTTGCAGATTCAGATAAGTTGTTTATCATAACATCAGAAGTGTTTTCTCAGTTGACAAAATTTTAAGATCATTTACAGGAACCAAGATAAATTGGCTCAAAGTTAAAAGTCAGACTTGTTCGGAACGAAATTCAGAATTCCGAAAAATCTGAAAATTTTAAAATCGGAAACTTCCGAAATTCCGGAAATCCAAAATTTTTGAAATCGGAATTTTCGACATTCCGAAAAATTCCGAAAAGGTCATTCGGATCATCCCTGGTTGAAAGTTAAGGTGCCCTTCTGTTACAGGTTTTACGGATATTGCTAAAAACCAACAAACTGACACTTTTCCTTCCATGAACACTGTTCATAACCTTCACCGCTACAAACCGACCAACAGACAAACATCCTTTTTTACAAAATCAATATATCACTTTCTATATCACACATCGCTTTGACAAGCGACCAGAGTAGTGTAATAAGAAATGGTGTAGATATTTTATAAGCTATATCATATAAGGGATTTATGGTTGACACGACCTAGGGTCTAAAAGCGGACATTGATAAAGGCACTGGGGGTCCTTCGCGGACCCTGCTTCATTGTTTCTTTCAGAGTCAATATTATCAGACCACCTTAATTAGATATTATAAAACTTAAAAAATACTACAAAATGATACTATTATCCTTGTCAGAGAAAAAAAAAGGTTGAGTCGAAGTGTATGCGATGTTTGTAAACAAAATCTGAAAGCGTGAACAACCGGAAACAGTTGAAACGAGTGCGACAGTAACCCGGCGGGAAAATGTTAAATTTACCTATTTTTTAGTTTTTCTCAGGGGGTACGACGAATTCGAAGGCTTCCAAAATCGAACAGACCTAAATTCGAACATGTGTCAAAACAGAACAAGAGCAGAATCGAACTGTGCGAAATTCGAACTGTGTCGGAGTCGAACTGTCCCTAATTGGAACGCTGTTAGCCATGGGGCGCGCTTGCATTTTTCCTTAAATTAGTGACTTTTTTCTTGAGAAAACTTAAAAAATATATACGAATCAGTTTCATTGGAAACAAAAACAACAAAAATATTTTTTTAAAGGAAAAAAAAACTTGCGGGGAAAAAATGAAAAAACAAAAATAATGCAAGCGCGCCCCATGGCTAACAGCGTTCCAATTAGGGACAGTTCGACTCCGACACAGTTCGAATTTCGCAC